TAAAATGCGGCTGCGCTTCAAAGACTCCAATGGTCACAGAAACAACTGTTGCGTTCAATAAAACTTGGCTGGCTGATGCCATTGCCTTGAAAGTGGAGCTTGAGACAGGACTTAATTTATCGTACATGTTAGTCATCATATAGGCTTAGTGAATATAAGTCTAATGAAGCTTCCATAGGAAAATTGAAAAGCCACAAGCTTGACAAAATTGCAACCTCTGTTTTTCTTACTACTATCCCATGCCAGAAACAATATATAAGAAATTTAGTGAGATATGAGGTACCAAGATACCCAGCACAATACTTGTATATTTTTAGTTATACAGAATTAAAATCCCAGGAACTATAAGCACTCTAGACCTTATGTGATTTATTCCTTCAGTTATTTCAACATTGCAAGTAGGGTCTATATAATTATTTGCTTGCTTCTTTATGCTTACCACCTCACTTGTGTATGGGTATACATCAGATTTGTGCAACAATTGATTTTGTTCAATTATTACAAGTCTCATGGTGATTATTTTATGTCTCTGTAGATCTCATTTTATGTTATGAAAACCTCCATTTTGGAAAATCAACTTCTGGTTAAAAGTTCATGCAAAATCCACATTGTACAGAAGCATATATGTTTAATGTCTTAAGATAAAGAAGCTTTATAGTAAATGTTTACATTTGGGATGCCTGTACTGGGGACCTGAAGACAGAATGGGAGGAGAATATGAAATATTTCTAGTAAATGTTGCCTTTGTCTTGTATAGGAAGTACACAGTAGGCTCTTTAGTTAAAAAGAAAAGGTAAACAATGCTTAATTATAAAATTTCTGAAAATCTTGTAATTCTTCCCCATACCCATTGAAGTTACTTATTAACTATTATTTTAGTTTGAACTGTGATATTTTTCCTTGTCTTCCCAACAAAAAAAGTAGATTTCTATTAATGAATTAATTAGAACTTTAAAATTTTATATGCTTTTTTGAACTATAATATTGGGATACTTGATAATTACTTTTATTATGATATTGATAAAATGGTGATGTGTTTTAATGTTAGTACAACCATATTTTCATACTGTCTTGGAATAAATGGTAGAGTTCTGTGGGAGAAATAACTTGTCAGCTAGTACAAGAGTTTATATATCTAAATAAAGAATTGCAAGAGAAAGACTTTAAGATGACATAGGTATGTTAATGGTAAAAGTAGCAGCAAATGCATTTCTAGATATGAAGAAAATCATTACTGAAAGCTTCAAGAGTTTGAATTCATGAGAAATTACAACATTTCTAAACTTTATGCATCTAATAACATTAATCCAAAATACATAAAGCAAATATGGAGAATACTATAGGGAAAATAGAAAAAGTTTACCATAGCAGTGGGAAATTTTACTATAACTTTCAGAAACAAGTAGACAAAAATCAGTAAGGATGTAGATTTGAACAAACCAATAAGTTTGATCCCATGAATATTGAAGGAGCATTGCATTCAACAGTATGAGAATGTGTTCTTTTTAAAAGATATATGAAATATTAAAAAAATATTAAATTTGTAAGTAAATTTCAAAATATTTGAATGATTCAGAACAACTTTTCGGACCATCAGTCAATTAAATAAGAAAGGGCTGCAGGTATAACTCAGTTGGTAAAGTGCTTTCCTCACATGCACAAGGCCGTAGGTTCAATCCTCAGCACACCTCCAAAAAACAATAACAAAAACCAAATCCATACATTTGTAATTTTGAAAAATCTATGTCTAGAGACTTTCACTTCTAGTTAGGCTTTATTACATTATGGAAGCCCAAGGCGCACACTGCAACAACCAGAAAAATGTGGAAAAATTACAAAACTCAGATTTAAAGATATGTGAGAGTTATGAAAGCAATTAGGACTAGGTGACTAGGAATTCCAGAGAGGGAGGAACCTTCCCGAGGTAATCCACCTCAGGAAAAATTTCTTTTCTGCATTATTTACTGATTCTGGACATGGACTAAAAAGGATCAGGCTTGGTTTATGCAGAAGTTCTCTCCTGAGGTAAAGAGAAATCTAGCAAAGCTTTTGGTCATGTGGTACTAGTGCAGAAAATTTGGAAATTTGAAAAGCCTGACTGGTTTCTTCTATCTGTTTTAAGTTGAGTTCCTCAGGAAACAGACACTGAATCTCAGATTTGCATTCAGAGATTTATTGGGGAGTCTTTTCAGGGATAACACCTGTGAAGGAATTGAGAGAAGCAGAGTGGGTTTAGGAAGTTGAATGGTTGATACATAGTTACAGTTCATTCCCTTTCATGGGGAGCTCTGCATATGGGATGGCTACTTAGAGACATCTGCAACTGAGGTCCTTTGAACTTTAGAATCAGCCCTTCAATGGATGCAGGCCACAACTGGGAATGATGGCATAACCTTGGGGGAAGCATCTTCCTTTAGCTAAGTAAGAGCAATTCCCAGAGAGGGATGCAGCTGTGAGCTCTCAGCTAGTGATTTAAGTGGGGTTATGAGAATTTCAGACCTTAGTGGTGCCACCACAGCATCCATTATATTACAACACTTGTTGAGTTCTAGGGCTATGTATCGGAAGCTGAGGAGCTAGAATGAAAATTCCCTTAATTTCATAGTGCTTAAGAGAGAACACTGGAAGAAATTCCAATTTCTCCACAACCTCAATACATTATTATTTTTTAAATGATAACCATTGTGGTGTCTGTGGAATGGTATTCCATTTTGGTTTTAGTTTTCATTTGAGTAATGATCTGTTCATGTGCTTGTTAGCCATACACACATATTTTGCCCATTTTAAAAAACTGGATTATCATTGAGTTGTAAGTGTTCTTTATAAATTACGGATCTAATGCCTATATTAGATACATGAATTGGAAATATTTTCTCCTACTCTGCTGTTTTTTTTCTTAATGCTATGCTTCAAAGTGTAGAAATTTTAAATTTTGGTGACATATACCACTTTTCATTTTATGAATCATGCTTTTAAAATAACATCTAAGAACTCTCCTCAATTCAAGTCCCAAGGATTTTCTACTTTATTTACTTCAAGAAATTTATAATTTCAGCTTTTACATATAGGTTTACTATCCATTTCAAGTTAATTTTTGTGTGTGGTGTGAGGTGTTTAAAGTTTTTCTTTCCTATTTTCATGTGGATATACAGTTGCTTCAGCATCATTTTTTCAAAGGACTCTCCTTTTCCTATCAAATTATCTCAGTAGCTTTGATGAAAAATCAATTTACCATAACTTTAAGGACTATTTGCAAACTATCAGTTCTTTTTCATTTATATGTCCACACAGTCTTGATCATTGTACAATTGTGTAAGTTTTGAAAGCAAATAGTGTACTTTGTTCTTTTTCTTTTTAAAATGTGGCTATTCTTGGTTCTTTGTATTTCCATATATATATATATATTAGGATCATCTTGTCAATTTCTGCAAAACAAACAGACAAAAACCTTGTGGGTGTTTGGGACATGATGGCAAAAAAGATAGTGTAAATAGTTCTCTGAAGTTTAGATTTTGGTTTCATTCTTTAAACCCTCTCCTGAATAGTTTCTCATTCTGTGTGAGCTCAGGAATCATAGAGGAGGGATAATTTCCTAGGATATTCTTGGCTGAGCACCAGAACCAAGGAAGCATATGTTAAGCAGAATAAAATTTGAGAAAGAGGTGATCTCAGTGACAAGCAAGGTGGACTATTATGCTTCTAGAAGAGTAATTAGCAAAGCTAATGGTGGTCATGTAGGACTTACTCCTTGTGGGAAGTGGGGATCCTAAGGCTGAGGTGGTAGTAGAGGCAGGTTCCTAAAGGTGATTTATACAAAGAAATTAGAGATTGGAAGCTGCTATCCCCATAGATCTTAGCAGGGTCTGCAACCTCTTATCTCATCCTTATTTCCTATGGTGTGGGCTTTGCTGGACATGAGGGAAGTGGTTAGTGCTGAACTTGGTCTAAGAAATACCTAGGACAACAAATTAGAAAAAACACATTTTAAAAAATAAATAAAATACAAAATAGGGCTGGGGATGTGGCTCAGTGGTCAAGTGTCCCTGAATTCAATCCCTGGTACCTGCAAAAAAACAAACAAAAACAAACAAACAAAAAACAAAACCAGAAAAAAGAAATACCTAGGACAGTCTGACATCACCTCTATAGGAAAGCTGTTACGGATTGCTCAATTATTTCAGAGTGTAAAGGATGGAAGAGAGAGTGCATTCCCAAGCCAGGAAAATGAAGTTCCTTAGAACTTCCCATTGCACTCTCCCCTCATTGCCTCTCTTCCTCCTCACTCACTGGCATGCTGACCCTCCACACCCACATTTCTCTGGTTTTTCTTTTAGTAGTAACCAAAAAAGAATGTTTATTACCCAACAGTCTATTGGGCAGTGACCATTCCTGACTAGCTAGTGAACTAGAACTACTTCCAGTTACTCAGCCCTCATACCCTGCTGACTCTTGAAGGCAGTGTTCAGTCCCTCTGGCAAGAACTAATGGGTGGGCCACATTTTCTGGCTAGTGACTGTGCTTACATTCTTCATCTCACCATGACTCCCACCCATCCTTCACTGTTGGGACTCAGTGCAAAAAACTGCTTCCATCCCCCTGAGCCTATGTGCTCATGGGAAGTATTTTCTCCCTTCTGTGAGCACCCTTGACTTCTACCTGCACATTTTTCATGGGCTTAGTACTTTCTCTTTTATGGGGAAAATGATTTGTGTTCAATTTCTCCACTAGGTCCTGAGCTCTATAAACATGGGATTCTAGGCAGGATTCGGTATTTGCCACCAGGCCTAGACAATAGTTGGCAATTAGTGGATGAAGAAATGCTTGGGAAAGAATTCTGAAAAGGGTCATAGGAAAGTGAACTCCCAGGACCTTTAGGCACAAGGCTTGTCATTCATTGTATGCCTCAGCATCTCCCCTTACATCAGAATACTCAAAGGAAAAATACACACACACACACACACACACACACACACGCACGCACACACACAATGACAAGGATGACCATTTTGGAACCCATTTATATTGTGGGTGTTACTTTGGGCTTCATCCAGCCCCATACCAGCCCCTGAGACTCATCAGACTGTCTGAAAATTCATGGCTTCCTTGGGCCAACTGTAGCTGTCCAGTGTAAATGAGTCATAGTCTGGAGTGTAGATGAGGGATCTTATGAAAGCCTCCTTGTTCTCAGGCTCCGGGTAGCAGGAAGCCAGGTTGTGTTTGTAGGCATAGTCCAGGACCTAGGGAAAAACATATGTGATTGAAGAACTGGATCTAAGGAAAAACCTGCCTAAAGGCCCTTGCTTGAGAGCCTGGGGTGGCAGGATACATTCCGATTAGCCAATCATGTTCCTCTCATGAGTTTGGCCTATGAAACCACTGGATAGAAAGGATTTTAAGCTTTCTGCCTAAGCAGGCAGCTTTGACATAGTGGAATAAATACTGGGCCAGGGTCAAGAGGCCCAGACTAAATTCTGCTTGCTTGTATCTGCCCACGAGTCCCTAGCCATGTTATTATCCTTGCTGAGCCTCAGTTTCTTTATCTGTAAAGTGAGGGAATGATGCTTTTATCTGGAGTTGTGTGAGGATAAAATTACCAAATTTTGTTTTGGATGGAGGTTGAACTGGATGAACATCCTGAACACCTTCTCTGGGTATTAGATTTGGCTTCAGGAGAATGTGGATCTAAATATCCCCTCAAAGGAAGGAACTAAATGAGGGAAAACCCTGCACTGAACAACTCTTTGAGACTGTGTACTGTTATGCAATGCACTTTTTAAAATTATTTTTAAAAATTATAGAAAAACATATGCACTAACAGAAATAATAGCATATTAAATCCTTAATTATTCGCTATCCACTGTCAACTATTATCATCTGGGGCCAGTATTTACTGGACTATGCTCTCATTCTTTGAAATCCATCACCCTTCATAGTCTCATAGTCTGGAATATTCCATGACCATGATTACTCTATGGCCCAGTCATTCTGAGAGGGGAAGAATAAACATCTCCTCTGGCCAGGCAGGCACTGGGTATGGAGCTTTATTACTGTCCTCTATCAATCTTTTCTAGAATTTTGGGAGACAGGCATTACTGACCTCTTTGGAAAAGGAGGAAACTGAGGTTCAGGGAAGTGAAGTGATTGGGCCAAGCTTGCTTCACTGTTGATTCACAAAGCTGGGACCCCAAGGCACAAGCCCTTTTCCTCACGTAATGCAAGCTGACCTTTCTTATAAATGGGTGATTATGATTCATTAAAAAAAAATTCCACCCACGTTCTGGCACACAAGACCATGGGCTTTGGTGACTTTTCTGTCCGCTGTTTTGAAGGGAAATCCAGGAGCTTTCCAGAACTGGCCTGGGCAGGCTTCAGGCAGGAGTTTGTTAGCCACCCTCTGGGTTGTATGCAATGCAGCCCGAGGAGCTAAGTATATCTCCAAAACTGCTGTCTCCTTGTCTTTCTAAAGTGTTTCATAAAGAGAAAGTGTTTGTGCATCACTCCCCATTTATAGGTGTAAGATGCCTCTTACTTTGATGGCGATTCTCAGAGATACATCTCTGATGGTGCTGAGTGGTGGGTACAGTCTCCCTTGGGATAGGTGCTGCTCAGAGACCTCCTGGGCAATTTGCTAGAGAGAGGGAGAGAACCAAAAGGAATAAGCTGAGTTTCTGCTTTCAAAGAACAAGGTCAACCCATTACCTCAGAGATTCACCCAATCCTGCACATGTGGTCAAATGCTGCAGTTCCTACTGTTAACTCTGCTGCCATGTGGCACCAAGGGAGCTTAATGCTTAGCCTTAAACAAGGACAAAACTTTTCTGTACTGTGAGACTGGTTGAGGCTTAAAACATGGGGATTTTTGAATTCTAAAGGAAAATTACTAAGACTAAGATGAATAAATCATGGCTTGCAAAGCAAAGACTAAGGGATTTCTTCTTGGTTCATCCAGTCTATTGCACAAAGATCCTAAGTTTCTCGCTTCCTTGCTTCCAGCCTCTTCCCCATGTTTGGTACCATCCTGGGTGCCCATCTAAGGAACATTCCTGTATTCAGGGCTCCATAAACTCTCCCAGCCATAGTCTCAGACTGAGGAAGGCCTTTTCTCCAGTGAGTGAATGGCACGAAACCTCTGCAAGCCTTCCAGCCTCAGGTTCTGGTGCCCAGCCAGCCTCACAGGTCAGCTTTTTAAATGAGTATCTTTGAAAATACTCCTACCTTATCTTCTTGTGTCCAATTTAAATTTGAGAAGATTCCTTGTGTTCTCTGAGAACTGTTTGTCTGTGAAGTGACAGGGCAATGGAGTTGATCTCACCTTAGAGTTTGCAGACATTATTTCAAAGGAGTGAGTCTCCCCCATTCCCATTCATTCAGGCACACATTCACTGAGCTCTACAATCTGATGAGCTCTGTGCTAGATGCTGAGGACACAAGGTGAAAAGACTTTTCCCTCACAGAGACTGCTCATAGAAGGCAAATAGAAACAATTCTAACAATTATAGTGGGGAGTGCAATGAGAGAGGGCCTAAAGATAAAGAGGAAGACAGAGTCTCATGTGCTATGCAGGAAGAGCTTCCTAGAGGAAGTGTCAGAGACTGACAGATGATGGACTAAATAGGAATTAGTGGAAAAGAGGAGATACATGAAAGTATAAATTATATGCAAATAATTGTAGGTGAGAGAGCAAGGACCTGAGGCTGAAAAAGGCACGCTGGATGGGTCTGATGATAGGGAGAGGCTACAAGAAAGGCAGAAGAGGAAAGGAGGGCCTGGTGATGAAGTACCTTGTATGAAAACCACAGGAAAAGGTTTGAATATTATTCTATAAATTCAAGAAGGCTGTTATGGTTTGGATGTGAGGTGTCCTCCCAAAACTCACATGTGAGACAATGTAAGAAGTTTCAGAAGAGAAGTGATTGGGTTGTGAGAGTCTTAACCCAACCAGTGAATTAATGCCCTGATAGGGATTAACTGAGTGGTAACTGAAGTGGTAGGGTAGCTGGAGGAGGTGGGAATTAGGGGTGTGGCTTTGGGGTATATATTTGTATCTGGCAAGTAGAGACCTCTTCCTAATCTGCTTCTTGATGGTCATGCGAGCCACTTCCCTTCACCACACTCTTACACCATGTTGTTCTGCTTCACCTTGAGCCCCAAGGAATGGAGCCTGCTGTCTATGGATTGAGACCTCTGAAACTATGAGGCCCCAAATAAACTTTTCCTCCACTACAGTTGTTCTGGTCAAGTCTTTCTGTTGCAGCAGCAAAAATGATGACTAAAACAGAGCCATACGAAGGTATGAAATTAGAGGAGATTTGGCCTGATCTGTGTTTTGAAGTGTTCTCTTTGTGGAGGTACAGAAGATGGATTGGTTAGAAAGAAACAGGATTGCCATGACTAGATCTGCATATAGAAAACTTGTCCTGTGAAGAGATAGATCATGCTATTATGGGCACTTCTAAGGTGCTGGGCACTAGTAACATCTTGCAGCATAATGTCAAGTAAGCCTGGGCCATCCTAGTGCTATGGCTCACAAGCCTAGAGATCTTGGGAAAGTTCCTTAAAGTCTCTATGCCGCATATTCCTTGTCTATAATATAAGGATACACTCTATACTTAGTTTTACAGAATTGTTAAGATGAAATGAGGCAATGCATGTAAATCTCCTAAAATCTATATTAATTTTCTTTCTTATTTTGTTTATAAGCTCTTTATTTTCTTTAAGCTAGTTTCAGGCATTAAAGAGATATGAATTAAGAAAAATAAAACATTAACTGAGTTTTTTTTTAAAGGTGTTTATGTGTAAATGAGGAGAAATGGGTAGTTTTCACACCCACAGATATTCAAACAAGTGTGCTTTATCCTGTGGTAAAGGTGGAAAATTAGATCCTACCATTTTATATCATCTTACCTGTGTATGATTTTGGCCTATTAATTTAATGGCTTTGGTACTTGGTTTCTTCTGGTATAAAGTAACATATATAGGTTAGTTGATTTCATCTATAAATCCTTCACATTTCCATGCTTTTTAGGAGGAAATATAGCTAATTAAGAGGAATGTAATTTTGAGGACAGCCGGTGGTGAACAGATGTTCTGGGGGTCTTTGGAGTGTGGTAGTATGTTCTCACCCTTTCTCTTCCTGTTTAATTTTCCATAGGAAAATAAAATTCAACATAAATTTTCTTTTTTTATATTTATTTTTTAGTTGTAGTTGGACACAATACCTGTATTTTATTTATTTATTTTTATGTGATGCTGAGGATCAAACCCAGGGCCTCGCATGTGCTAGGCAAGTGCTCTACCTACTGAGCTACAACCCCAGCCCTCAACATAAAATGTCTTAATGAAAAACATCTTTTTCAGAAATATACGCTGTCAGAGCTTTGAAGATAGGGCTGTCAGCTCTTAAAAGTGAGGGACCTGAGCTGGGCATGTTGGCTCATGCCTGTAATCCTAGTGCCTTGGGAAGCTGAGGCAGGAGAATCTTAAGTTTGAGGCCAGCCGCAGCAACTTAGTGGAACACTAAGCAACTTAATGAGCCTTTCTCACAAAAAAATGCAAGGGGATGTTGGTCAGTGGTTAAGAACCCCTGGGTTCAATCCCTGGTACAAAAACAAACAAACAAACAAAAAAGTGAGAAAGTTTATCCTGCTCACAGCAGATGCTTAATGAGTAGATTGAGAAGAGTTTCCTGTAAAATCAATGGACACTCATCATGAAATGAGGGAGTTGAAGTATTCCATGGCACAGGGTATTGGGTGTGCAGATGTCTCAGGGTCCTATAGGAAAGGCTATAGCAACTATGTTTCTGCACAACAAGGAAATTTACTTGTAGTCTGTCTTTAAGCAAGAGTGACTCTTCTCATCCAAAGGGGATTTCAAATAGCTCTGCCCACAGTCATAAGACAAGAACACCCATTACAGCAATAGGAAGAAATATGAATGCAACTTACTCAGACAAGATGGACAGAGAGTGGTGGGTACAGTCTACCCTGGGATAGGTGCTGCTCAAGGTCATAACTGGTGTGCATAGCATGGGAGGTGGCTTAAAATTCTTCAGGGAACTTTACTTTATGGCCTTGCAGCGCAGGTGATCAATGACAAGACACAGTAAAAAGGGACCTAGGATGTGGTACAGTTCCCTGTGGGACTCATAGGGTGGATCTGGACAGAGATTCATGGAAGCAGTTCTCATGCCTCATTGGCTTAAACTTTTTTTTTACCAGTGCCATGGTGAGAAGGAATTCCAGAGGAGGTTAGAAATATAAATTTTTTACAGGTTAGAAACATAAATATATTTAATATTTATATATATCTTTGATTAATTTAATCCTCCTCTACTCAAGAGAAACATTTCTAGGGCTGGGGATGTGGCTCAAGCGGTAACGTGCTCGCCTGGTATGCGCAGGGCGCTGGGTTCGATCCTCAGCACCACATAAAATAAAGATGTTGTGTCCACCAAAAACTAAAAAATAAATATTAAAAAAATTCTCTCTCTCTCTCTCTCAAAAAAAAAAAAAGGGGAAACATTTCTAGGCAATGGATTCTTTAGAGTGAGAATAAATGTCAAGTGCAGGTTATTTGATAATGTCAGCAATGTAATTGTTATTCATAACCATTATTATAAATGTGAAATGTCATCCTTAATGAATTTTCTCATTGTAAAGAAACCATTTCTTCCAGTAAAGAACCCTTCTGGGGCTTTTTCTTGTATGATGCTCAGAACAGGTATATCCCCAAGACCCCTATAACAGTGCTCAGAATTCCACCTGCTTCTTGCTGAAAGTGTCCTAGTGGGGCTAACTGTTGCCAGTTACCCCAGTGATGTAACCAATGAATGTGGCATTGCAGCGCAGGTGATCAATGACAAGACATGTCATGGTTCACAAGTCCCCAGTTTCAGGTACCTTTAGTTACATCTCTATCTAGGCATCTAGATGACACGCTGGGAGGTGGGGAACAGTACTAGATATGTCCCTTCACTGCTAGTTCCTTCTGACAATAGCTCTTTCTCCAACTACTTCCCATCCTTCTTCAAAAGCCTGCATGCAATTGGAAAGAAGGTCAAGCCTGAGATAATCTAGAGAGATGCCTGAGGTTTAAGTACTTTGGGGATCCATTGCCAGGGTTTGGAGAATGCAGGTAGAAGAGACAAAAAGAGGAGGAATCTTTAGAGACCCAGTGTAGGACTTAGTGTTAACCCCCAGGCTCTGTTGAAAGCATTTAAAGGAGCAAGGACAAGATACCTCTGCTGTTAGGAGGAAGATCTCATCAGGGATGTGCCGGATCCCGCCGGCAATGACTCCCAGTGCCACTCCAGGGAACACATAGGCATTATTTCCCTGCCCAGGAATGAATGTTTTTCCATCTTCCAGAGTCACACTCTTAAAAGGACTTCCACTGGCAAAGATCCCTCGGCCCTGGACCCAGGAAAAAAACCAGAGGTTGGAGTTTAGAGATGGGTTTGGGGCAGTAATGATAACTTGTTCTTGTCTTCCATATGTTGAACCCTTCTTCATCCTTTCCCAAATGCCCAGCATTGTGCTGAGAACATGGCAAGTACTCAAAGCATGTTTATTCATTTGACTAGAAAGCTCAGTCCCCCCACCCAATTTATCTGACAGCCAAGAAATTGCTGATAGATGATGGAGTTCATCGTACCCTTTTTACCTGTCATCTCCTGAGAAGGCCAACCCAGAACATGACAGACATGAAAGTATCCTAGAGTTTATAAGAGCCTTGGATTCTGGCCAAAGCTTCATGTTATTTAGGGGAAACTTGTCCAGCATTGCCTAATTGTAAGAGCTTTGGAGTTAGAGCTGGGTTTGAGGACCGGCTCTATTCGTTATTAGCTCTGTAACTGTGGGCAAGTTACTTCATCTTTCTGAACCTCAGTTTACTGATGATGAGGATTTTTTTCACCCTCAAAGGGTTACTTATGGTTATTGTTACTATGTCCTCTCAGCTGGGGGAAGGAAGGACTCCCCGCTGACCTCGGTGACCCGGTAGCACTTCTCAGCTGTGCACTCGGCCTTGCTGGTGGGATTGCTCAGGGCAAAGATGATAGGGCGCTCGTGGAAGGAGGCCATGTCCCTCAGAATCTGCTCCGTGAAGGCTCCTGCGATGGCAGCAACACCTACAGGGAAAAGTGGGGTAGTGGGGATACCTACTCTTCATTAATAACCCATTCCTCTCCTGGGGAAACTAGGTGTACCATGTAAGGCTCAGGAGTCTTGGGGATAGCATGTGCCAATGGGATTGAGAGAGAAGAAGGGAAGAGTGTCTTCTTGCTTGAGTTGCCTGAGGCCTCCTGTTCATCTTTAAGGGAATACTGGTCTACTTCCCTGCCATTTAGATGCATCTTGAAGATGTTATTGGGCTTTGCCATTCAAAATGGGTTGCTCTTTTAGTGACAAGGAGAAATACTAGGATCTCTGCCTTGGTTGGGGGAAAGCTCATCTCATCTGGGTTAGAGATATCAGCCCTGCACTTTTCTACTATACTATATAAGCCCCAACTCTGGTAGCTTAGTTCTATGGTTTTATATAGTAGTTTCTCCATAGAAGTCTGTGGCATTGAATTGGGGATAGAGCTGCATTTCTACAAGTTACTTATGTCTCCTGGATAAGCCTCAGTCTCTCCATCTGCAAGTCAATAGAGTTAGCTGGGCTAGACAGCATATCACCTGCATCTTCCTACCTATGATGGCTGTGGGCTTCACCAGCCTCACCACCTCCTCCAGGGAGTTCACTTCAGGATGGTCTTGGGCAAACATTTCTTTCTCATGGTTCAGGTGGCTTCTCCCCTACAGGAAAAAAAGGTTCATTAAAAAGTTGTGGTGCTGAGAACCTGTTGGGCAGGGGCAAGAATGCTTTTGGAAACTCTGAGAGCATTCCCTGCTGAGCCCCATAAATTTGATCTTTCAGAAGTCTTAGGGCCTGACCTCTTGATCAGATTTCCCAGTAAAGCCTAACATGTAGTGTGTGTGTGTGTGTGTGTGTGTGTGTGTGTTTCTTTAACCCAAACCACATCAGGAGAATTCACAAGGCATTTCTTTGAGCTGGGTCAGAACAAAAAGCTTCTAAGGAAATACCTGAGTCTGACCAAGTCCCTTTGCCCCAAGACATCCAGGACCCGGCTCAGTTGACGGATAGGGGCTTGAGCCATCCAGGACCAAAGATCCTTGGCACTGGAGCCAGGAAGAAAACCAGAAGTTTGAGTTTAAGGATGGGTTTGGGGCAGTAATGATAGCTTGTTTCTGTTTTCCATATGTTGAACCCTTCTTCTTCATGGAGCTAGTGTGAATGTATTTTATATGAGTCATTAACCTCCCTGTGAATAATATTAAGCTGAGTTCCAGAACAGGCTTGGAATAGCTGACTGACTCTATATTTCTTCCATTTTCCCAAATAGAGGTCCTTGGGGGACAGGCTGGCATGATTACTAATAAATGAGCACAAACATTTCTGATGACTCCTTTGGACCAGCTGGCCTCATGAGAAACAGAGAGACTATGTCAGCTTTGAGAGTTCCTTGGTCAGGGGTGAGCTCCATGGGGTGAACCAAATGATGGTGAAAAATGGTCAAGTGTGGCAAGCTTTGGCAACCTATACTTGTGACTGATTATGCTCTGGAATGATATAGAGTGGGAGGAGGAATCTTCAGGCCTAAGTTCCTACGGCAGTGATCTGGCTCTATAGGAAGGCCAGTTTCTGAGGAGGGTATTTGCTATTCTTGGTATATGATCCTATGCACTTCTCCATTCCTACAATGCTCATTGTTTTTCATCTCTCACTGACATTCCATGCTAGTGGAATTCTGGAAATTAAAAGATGAAGCTATGAGTCAAGCTCTAAGGGAGAGAGGTCATCTAGTTGTGTCCTTCTCCACATTCTAGTCAGAAACTGAGCTGTTTCTCTCTCTCATTCTTTCACTCCTACATCACACATTAGTTACATTAATTATGTGCTTACCAGGTGCCAGGCATTGGCATCAAGACTACGTAGCTTAGTGGACAAGTAAAAAGCATCTGTTTTATAAAGTGGTGGGTGCAGCCCATGGAAGGGGAATGCCTATGTGAGCAGAGATGTAAGGAAAAAACCTAATGCTCTCAGAAAGCTTCCTGGAGTAGCTAATATTTGAGTTCAATCAGAAGGTAAGGAGGAAACTATGAAGGGGGATTGAGAGTGGGTATTTGGAAAAAGGGAGAAGAACATTTCAGGCAGAACAAATGTGCAAGGATGTGGAAGAGAGGAATGTGTGACTTTTGGAGAACTACCATTCAATATGGCTGAAGGTTAGTGCAAGGCAGGAGTAGTGGGAGGTAAGGCTGGAAGGAGCACACATACACACTCACACACACATATTCCGAATGTCTGAACAAGAGCAATTAAGGTTACTTTGGGATGAATCTTTTGTTTTGGAGGTTAGGCCATTGCCATTGCTCTCCTTCTCTATTCTGAGAACTTCACCCCTTAGGGAACTCTTCAAGTTTAGTTCTTGGGAAACTTTCAGGTCTCCAGACTGACAGTACCTTGACAATCAGTCCCTTGGAGTCCACCATCCAGATCTTCCTTGTGGCCTCTGCCTTGGGTACACCTTCTTTCTCCAAGGCCATGACAAGAAGGTGGGCGATGCCCATAGCTGCCTGAGAGGTACCATAAAGAAAATGTTTAGACACAGGGGAAATAGCTGCTCAGCATGGATCAGATATCTCACCAAAATAAGCCCTTATTCTTTCCTATAGCCCCATGACTCCCAGGAGGCCCAGGTAAATTCTTGCATTGATAAATTCAATTGTTGAGGTTCAGGCAGCCGAGATGATCAGAATATACTGAACCATGGAACACCACCCTTCTTGATTCTCTTCTATGCATTCTTATTTTTCAACTGCAACAACAGTAGAGACCCCCCCCCCCCCCGGTGGCACCTACCTCACCTGCACCTTGGAAAACAAACACATGATTGGAGAGCTTGTTCTTGGTGATTCTCAGAGCAGCCAGGATCCCTGCCACAGCCACAGAGGCTGTGCCTGCAAGAGAGTGGACTGTGATCAACTCTGGCCATTGGCTCCCAACCTCCAAGAGAAGACCCTTGACAGAGTTTACAACACTTAGGACCTGTGCAGGAAGAAACAACTTTTTTCAGCCCTTATGTATGTCAAGCCTAAAGGCATGAAAGCCTAAAGCCATGCCCTCTTTTGTAGATAACTGTTCTTCTTCTGATGGGCAGATCCTTAATTGTTTCTTGACTGCAAGAGAGATGACCAGATAGCCAGGTTCTGCTACTGCCATTGTCCATAAATGAAATAACAGGATAAACATAATTTAATAGATGTCAAAAGGAAGTGTAAGTCTCCAGAATGCTTTAAAGGTTAAGTGGACAAAGACATCTTTTAAAATGAGAGGACAGCCTAACTGTCAGACATTAAGAGACCATATGTCCTGAGCTGCCCATCTTTTCCACCAAATCATAAGGTTAGTTGTATCGGGTAGCATATCATCAACAAATGGCTTGAGTATGCCCAGAAGGAACAAGTAAGTTGCATGAGCAGGTGGTTGAGACTTGATAAAACCACTGCTGTATCACTTCCTCTCCCTCAGTCCACATCTAAGGACTTATTGGGAATTTTTTAGACTATAGTCCAGGAAGGAAAAAACCTTAGGCTCAGTTTATAGATTGTTCTTAATGCTATATTGTCACCAACTAAATGTCAGGTTGCAGCTTCACAGGTGGATATAAAGGATAATGGCAAAGGGCAGTGGACAGACATGACTTCAATGGTAAATCTGGTTGTTCTCTTTGATCCAAAAGATGTCTAGTTCTACTTTTATTTTTGGGGGGGTGCTGGGGATTAAACCTATGGCTGCATACATACTAGGCAAGTGCTTTATCACTGAGCTAATCCCCATCCCCTGGATCTCTTTTGATTCATGATCAGTTGTTAATGGTTGAGAAGGGTGGTCAGGGACTTGCAGAGAACAAAATTATAAGATTGGTGATGACTGGGGAGTGGGGAATCATTATCTGGCATAGAATTTCATTTTACAAGATGAAAAGAGTTCTGGATGTGGATAATAGTGATGATTGCATAACCTTAAATATATTTAATATTATTCAACTGTACATTTGAAAGTGTTTAAATGTCAAATCTTAATGTGTATTTACCACAAAAATTAGAGGGAAAATCCCTATAATCAAATAAATATGAGTCCAAATATTTAAAAAAATAAGATTGGTGATGAATGGTTCTGGGAAGTGGTGTGAGGATGATCTCTTGAATAGGAATAGAGTGTGACGAGACTTATGCCTCATGTGAAAACTCACCAAAGGATGTAATAAGAATAGTTTCTCAATCACCAAGCAGATAAAATGTTATGTTCTCTAAATGTGAGCTTGCCAGCATCTTTCCACAGCCACCTAGGGTTTGCCTAATGGGCTTACATACAAAGTAGACATGGTGGCCAAGGATTGAGACTATGCATGGACTTCCTTTTACCAATTCTGATCTGTTACTGATACTGCTGAGTGACTAACTTGTCAATGGCAGAGACCCAAGTTGAACTTCTGATATCCATCTGGTGGATGGCTGGTTAACTTGGACTCCTTCCATCACAGACAAGCATTGGAATACATAGCTAGTCCAGAGAGGAACTTCTCTCCTTGTCTATCATGCTGCTGCCAGTATCATCATCTATAGATGTTTGGAACACTTATTCATCATCCTGTTATAATCCAAACAAGGCTTCTATAATAAAGAAATTAATTTCACAGTAAAAGAAGTGCAATAGAAGGCTCATGCTCAAGGAATTCACCGGTCTTCATGTATACCCAACCACTTAGAAGCAGCTGACCTAATAGATCAGTAGAGTGGCCAGCTGACCAAGGAGAAAGAGTTGGGTTGAGGCAACACCCTCTACAGATGATGTTCTATCTTAAAAGATACAATATATAATCTGATTTAGCAAACAATATATTGGGTTCTTTCTCAGAATACATGAATCTGGAAGTGAAAGTGACCCAATTTTCCCTAATAATCCACTTGCAGAATTTTTGTTTCCTGTCTTTTCACCTTTGTGTCTCACTGGATTGAAGGTTTTAGTTTCCAAGAGAGAAGTACTTATACTAGGATACACAGCATGTTGAATCAGGAGTTGAGAACCACCACTTGACCATTTGGAACTCTTTATACCACTACACCAGTGGGAAAAAAAGAGGTTTTTGATCTAAGTGTAGTGATTGCTCCTGGTAACCAACAGGAAATCTGGGGCAGGAAGGAGTACATCTGGCACTGAGGGGATCCTCTGAGGTGTGTCTTAGTATTTCCATGCTCAATAGTAAATATCAATGAATACTATTGCAACTCAAGAGAAGCAGGAATACTGAAGATTCAGAGGTCTTAAAACTGAGGGTAAGTTTTTACCTACTGGGTAAAGACTGAGGACCCTGGCTAGCTGAGGTCCTCTCTGAGAACAAAACAAAACAAAACAAAACAAAACCAACAACAACAAAAAAACACGGAATAGGAGGTTGAGGAAGAAATTTATAGAAATCAGCTATGGCCTCACTTCTAGTTAAAAAAATAAGAAATGTAGCAGTCATGCATATTTCTTCCTTCATTCTTATGTAACTATAACAATGGTATAGATTAGATAATTTCTTCTCCCTCTCCCTTCCCTTTATTATGTTATACACATTTGGTTGGAGGTTTACTTCTTTGCTTTAGTATTTGAGTAACTGAATTTATAAGTGTGTCTATAACTGAATTTGAAGAGTGGTTAATCCTTCCCAGAAGATGAAGAGTATGACTATCTTCCAGTAATGAATAAAATGACTATTGAAACTGTCTCATCCCTTTTTGGGGAGAAGGTGAAAATGTCTTCATTTCTTGGAGATAGTTGCATTTTGTTAGAGTAGTTTTTGTTGTCTGGGAGTACGAATGTGTAGAATAATGTACATGGATTCTAATGAGAGCCAAAAAAGGTGAACTGTGCCACTTATGGGGTAATTGTTTTTCAGCTCCAAATATACCTTTCTCTTACACTGTTTGATCTGCAAACCCTGTTCAACTTTGCCAACTGGCTCTGTGCTGGGATTTGGCACCAGAGGGAGACTGGAAAGCTAGATGTGGGGTAGTGAGGATACTTTTTCTGCATCGCCTCAGTTGCCAGGTAAAATGTAGGACACTTAGTAAAATTTGAATTTTAGGTAAACAAGTAATTTTTTAGTACAAGCATACCCTTGCAACATTAGCATGCATATTCTAAGAAAGTTTTTCTTATTTATTTCATATTGAAACTCAACTGAGAAGCCTTGGTTCTGCCACTCCACATCAGCAGTTGAGTCCAGTCTGCAGGTTGTCCATTACTTACCCTCATAGCAAGCATCCCCAACCCCACCCCAAGACACCAATGCCAGCGGGCTGCCACCTCCTCTTTCCTTTGTTCCTTCAGCCTCAGGGGTGGCAGCAGATCCTTAGTGTTTCTTTTCTGCTTTTCAATTCCTTAATACATAATTGACAATTCTTTATTTAATTTTCTCTGTCAAAGCAAGTGGTGTAGACCTTGACTGATAGAGTTCATAATAAAACCTAATCACAGTTGGCAATGTTAAATTTCCATGATGGGCAAAGAAAAGGAAATTAAAGTGAGGCTATTTATGGCTTGTTGAATTTGCACAAATTTTAAAAAAACCTAATATTTTCTAGGGCTGGTGAGGGAGCAGTAAAAACTAAAATGTTCCAACACACTTTGCATTTTGAAGGGCTACAATCCTTTTTTGGAAAACTATTTCCTGGTGCAGACCAAGGCATAAAATGTTCATGCCCTTTGACTTCATACTTCTTCTGGGAATCTGTGTATAAAAAAATTAGAAATATATGTTCTAGGACATTTAAGAAAATGTTATTTGTAATGCAAAGTGGCTGGAAATAACCTTAACATCTAACAAAGGAATAATGATTGAATCGGCTGGTGTAGACACTCAGTAGAATATTTTGCAGCTATTAAAAATGAAGATTGTGTAGTAGTATAAAAATACTATGAGTTAGTAACATCAGAGAATGTCCTAATATAAATATATTTACTCATTTAATCCTAACTACTATCATCCCTATATTACAGAGTGGTAAAATGGACAGTTCAGTTTGTTGAGTTGTTTTAGATCATATAACACAAACCAGATTTGGACTCAGGGAATCAGCTATAAGGGCCTGTGCCTTTAACCACTGAACTTTTGCTTTATTGAATTTGTTGGAAAGAAGAGAACCTTAAATAGCACACATATCATGATTCTAATCCTAACACACACACACACACACACACACACACACACACACACACACATACACACACTCCAGAAAGGACTACAAAAATATACAGTTGCAGACTGGGGGTTTAAGTGAATCTTCTGTGTTCTATTTCCAGTTTTCCAGATGGTTTGCTTTTCGCTGGCTCAGGAGTGGGATTTTCTTCTAGAACAAGAGTTGGACTTATGCCTGGCTTGGAGACTCTGTGTTGGGCTGAGATAAGGGGCATTTGGAGTCTAGTAAGTGCACATTCATCATTGTGGACATCAGGAAGTAGGAATCTAACCAGGAACACACTCCCTAGAAGATGGGGTGCAGACTTTCTTGTCTTCACATGGCTGTGGCCTGGGGAAACTACTGAGCTGTCAGCAGGTCCCAGAGGCATGGCTGAGGACTAGTGGGATTTCCCAATTCCTTCTAAAGGTTCCCAGAGTGCTCCTTGTGCCTACCAGATGCTCCGTGTGCCCACCAAAAAACTGTGGAAGAAAGAGAAGACTCTGACATAACCCCTGCCATCAGGGAACACCCTGCTTAGCAAGGCTTTGGTACAATAACTGTAACAATCAGCAATCAGAGGTATTTGGAAATAGTTACATTCATTTAATTAGTGAGCAGCACATATGAACCATGTGGATACTGAGGGTACCATAGGTATCCAAATAGGCCAGGTTCACTCTTTTTTCCCCAGGTTCACTTTAAAATGTAAAGAAAGAAGTGATTAAATG